CCTATTCGTATGCACGTCGTTGTCATCTCATTCATATGATATTGTGGACAGTATTCCAAACGTGATCTCCGTATCTCCTTGGATAAAACAGGTGGTAACTATGGTTCGTGAGTGTTATACGGAGTGACCGCTAAGCAACCGACTGATTTTGCGTCATTTCCTATTGTTGATTCCATCGTGTTATTTGGCATCGTTTTCTACCGCGATGCGATCAAGCACGGAATCGTATGTGAGTGATATCCAAAAGATAACGTTGCAAGACAGACCGGATTAGGGGTACCAGGAATAAAAAATTATCACGCAACGCCTCTCTCGAGTATACTCCATACACACTTCCTTCTTCAAACTCAATTTCCCATTTTTCTCTTTTTATTTGCTCATTTCTGCTGTTTTCGATTCCCTTCTTGATTTTTTCTTATCGCTTGGTGGTGAAACGCGTCGCAGCGGTATGATCGTCATCGACGAAAAAAGAAGAATCTATATACTGTACCGCGACACACATTCGAGTTCGCGCTCAGTCAATAGCAGCTGCATCCTTTGAAATTTCGAAAGAATTAGAAACATAAAGCATTCACGAGTGTGAAAGATACCGCGGAGATCAAACAACCGGCGACCAAGCTACCGGAAAATATCTGTAAATTCGATCGTAATATGGTGGTGTTATACGATTTTAAGGAGATACCAATCAGCAGGCACAGTGATATGCATTTTTTACACATTTATTCACTACCAAGCGACAAGATTTTTATAGAACAACGTATACGAGTTCTTGAATCTCCTAAGTGAAAGAAAAAAGAACGGGAACGGGAACGAGAACGAGAACGAAATAAGCTCGGCCTAGGAATCGCAACGATGAAAGGTACAAATTTCGGTGAGCCGAGGAACCAAAGATTCCAATGATACCTTCGCAAGGTGGCCGTGAGGGATATAAAGGTTCTCCCAACCCTCCGAGCAACAGCTCTGAGGACAATGGCTTCGCTAATCGACCTCGAGTGGCGGGCCTTTACGCGACGAACCTCTTCAGAGAAGAGCTCGTTCGATTCTCGTCAGGAGAGACTACTCGATCTCCTGGAACCACGCGAGATATTCTTGAAAGATCGCCACGAGAGATTGGAAGCCAGAGAAGTTTAAATCTCCCTACGGGCATTGCCGAAGAATTTGAGCTGTTGGATCGCTCACGGATCGGGATTTCGAGAACACCACAACCATTGAGAAGGGGAGAGGTGACTGCTGCTCATTACGAGCCCATATCTAGGTTCAGTGAATCTACCAGACGAAATCATTATGGATCGCCACTTATCGAAAGGATTCGTTCCAGAGAACAAGAACAACAGGAAGAACACACTGGTCGTGTGTCCGGTCCCCTTCGAGGATCCCTTCTTGAGTTTCCCCGCTCGGATGAGACAATATGGATGCAGTCGAATATTGATAATTCTAAAATACCTGTTTCAACTAGTGATTTTATTAGAAGGAGAGGTCAAGAAGATAGTTCAACTTTTGCTTCAACCTCTGCTTCGATACTTATTTCCCCTGCAAGCGAAACTAGCGAATGTTGTCATGCAATCTCGCCTCCGGAAGTGGAAAAATCATCACCACCAGCATACACAGGGCTCAGTCCGCCCGAATACACGCGTCGCGAATATGAAAACAGTGAAACTCCCTCACCAATTTTTCCAAATTACCCGTTGCAATCGTATGCGGAAGAAACACGTCACAGGCATTTGAGGTCGTCTATCTCGGATGCCGAGCTTGAATTTTCGATACACGAAGAACGTTTAAGAACCGAAAATCGGTTCGAATCAGTGGCCCCTGAACAGGAAGAAATCTCGCTCGCCGGTATATCAAAGCAAACCGAGTATCAAGAATCGTTGGAATCTAAAGTGATTGTCGAGAAATCGACGGACGAGAATGTCTCAAGATCTAAAGACGTCGCAAGGCTAAGACCTCCTTTAGCTGCAGCGGCAGGTGCTTCGGCCGATTCTGGGACCGGCGATTCTGGAAGCGCAGAAATTCAAGTTGATCCTCTGGGTACTCCAAGGACAGGAACCGCCGATGAAATTTCTGATGGTAGAAATCGAGCTGAAAACGGTATCAACGTTAACAGATCGACCATAAAAACTCCAACTGGAAATAATAAACAAACGGTGAAGCTTTTTACAAAAGAAAGTCTCGACAGGTTGGAAAACAGAACCGTGCAGCTCGTTAGAGATTATGGCTTTCAACCAAAAAGACGAATGTCGGTCCAAGATGGTGCGGTGCTTCCAAATAAATACGAACCTTTTCCAACCGAACTTTACGGTAGGCCCCTCGAAGAAATCGACAATTTCATCTACGACGAGGTAACCCTTTAGATATCCATATCGTTATTGTCAATTTTATGATTTCAATATAACATCAATTTTAATTAAAATCGATATTGAATTTTGGTAAAGTTAATAAATTGTAATTGGTATAAATAAAGTTAACGCTAAATCATTTAGAAAAAATCGCTAAGATAGAAAAAAAAATGTTAAAAATTGAATTATTACATTTACTGTTGCTGTAGGGTAACAATTGGTAGAAAATGTAAGGGATGATTTTACAAGCCAAAAGGAGACGAAAATTAAGAATAACCATATTGCATTTGAGACTTTGTTTTTTAGTTATTAACATTTAAAACTCGGCCAAAATACCCCTGAGGCCCGATAGACTTTTCTACACCACCGAATGTAGGGCACGTCAAAACACGGGGGGTACAGTGATCCTCAAAACCAATGCTATATGGCCGGCAGCTTACCTCGTACTTACATATTGTAGAGAAAAAGACTGACATTTGGTGCCGTAAACGATTTCTATTTAACTCATAAATATTACCGACTTCTGCAGCATTACCATTTGCTTCGTTATAACATATCGGAACACTTAAAATGTGCATTCCAGTGTATCTGTAATATAGCAAACACAACGTATACTATGTACAAAACATACAATGTACACCAGCCACTGAAAAACAATTGCTATAAACTATAATATTCACATACACACGCGCACACACGAAATGAAATCTAAAAAAAAAAGTAACAATAAACTAAAAGAGACTAAAAAAACTAAAAAGAAATAAGTTAAATCTATATTAAAGCTACATTAATATGTAATACATTAAATTTAGCTGATTACACTAAACTAAATCCAGTTAACTTGTTATTTTATAGCTATAACGTAATGTATATGTAATTAGAAGCAAGAGATGAAAATAAGGGTTATGTTCATTTAATGCGACGAGTAGCTCTTCAAAAGTTTCGCTTTCAGTGTCGAAATGATTTTGTCCTTTCAAAGCTGTTGTATCCTTTTACAAAAATCGGAGAAGACGCGATTGGCTTCCTCAATAGGAATATACCCTCTAATTGGGTAAAATATGAAACAATACTTTTGTTTCCTACGTTTAACTCAAAATTCGAAAAGAACAGTCTCAATATTTGGGAGCAGGTTTTGAAGTGTTCACCAGATGTGTCTAAGAAACGTGAAATAACAAGATAAAACAGCTTCGGATGGACAAAATCATTTCGGCAACGAAAGTGAAACTATTAAGCGATGCGATAAATAAACATAGCAATTATTTTAATCTTTTTTTAGTTGCACATTACTTTATAGTTATAAAATAATAAATTAATTAGTTTTAGTTTAGTATAAACAGTTAAATTTAATTTTTTACATATTAGTGTAGTTTTAAATTATTTTTCTTTAATTTTGTTGTCCTTTTTTTGTTTTCATTTCGTGCATGCGTATGTATATGTGAATAGGTAGTGTACACTGATTGTTTTCTAGTCATCTGTATGTGTATGTTTGTTATATTACAGTATACAATGGAATACACATTTGAAGAACGTTGCGACATGCTCTTATGTTTTGGTGAAGCAAATGGTAGTGTCGCAGAAGTCGGTAATGTCGTTTACAGGGCTGAATATCACTGTTTTCTTTTCTCTACTTGTATAAGTGAGTCTCATCGATTCTTGCGGAAAGCATAAAACTAACACAACATACAGCGGCGGTAGTTCTATGTGAAATGGTGTATGATGTGCAAGTAAGATGCGCGAAAATCATTCTGACACCAACCGTCCAACAGTTTGTGTCGAAAAGGACTGCACTCTTCGGAAAGCGTACTTTTCATAAAGAATAATTTTTGAATTATATGTATAAACATATGTTGGCTATAAAGCCAATAGTTATACGTACTGTTTAAACGAATAAAATGCTACATTCAATATTGCATCACGACATACAAATCATCGTAGAAATGTAGAAATACAACTACAAATAGTGTAACACAGAACACATACTACTTCTGTTAAAAGAAAAGACATTGGTATAGGAATTGAAACGTAACAAGATTGAAACTGTTTATTAGTAAAATACAAATTTCTCTATTGCCATATTTTATTTCGTAAACACTTTTAGTGCTTGTTGTAATTAACGATATATTATCGTATAAATAGGGTGAACACGCCGACAATCTTAGAAAGAAATTATAGCTGAATTTTAAATAAAACAATGTTTCTTCTTCATAATACAGACTTATTTACTAATATTCGTTTCGATGTGAACTGTTGGACGGTTGGTGTCGGAATGACTTCTGCGCATGTGCGTGCACATCGTACACCATTGCACATAGGCCCACCGCCGCTCTGCGTTTGTGTTAGTTCTAGGGTTCCGGCAAGAATCGTTCAACTCACTGTACGAGGTATATAAACTGCCGACCATGTGCCGTTAGTTTTGAGGATCACGGTACCCATCGTGTTTTGACCTGCCCTACATTCGTTGGGGTAGTGAGGTTTACCGGGATACAAGGATATTTTTGCCAATTTTCAAATACTAATAACTACAAAATTAAGCTTCAAACATAATTTTGTTATTCTTGATTTTTATTTTATTTTAGCTTGTTTACCCCTTAAATTTCCTATTAATCTTTGCCAAACATCTTGAATAAAAGCTGTTTGAAAAGAGTTAACAACTGTGAAAAATTCACTTTCATAAAATCTTTGTACGATCTTAGAATTATCTCGAAGTATCAACCAGGTAAACACAATTCAATTTCTAAACGAGGATTACCTTTTTTCTTTAATTTCAACAACTGTAACGCAAAATGTTCCAAAATTTTATTCAAATTCGATAGTTCTGGTCTTTGAATGCATTGTACGTATTATTCATGCTAAGGAGAAATATTGCTTTTCTTAATTCTTGACAAAATAGTTTTTTTTTGCGTATTCCCGTAAAGAGATCTGTTTCACACATCATCTCTGTCGTGTGTTTCAGACGTTTTGCGTGGTATCGAAGAGATTTCGTAAAAATTACATCCATAGATTTACAGCAACAAACAGTTGGTTCATATTTTCCCCATGGAATCCTATAAGGCGGAATTGTATTTTCCTAAGCACGAATCAGTACTTCGATTATACGGTCATGACTACCATAATAATAAATTGTGTATTCCTCGCACTAACGGAAACTATCGAGGAAGCCGAGTAAGTATTTTTACAAATGTCACGACTCTTCGGATTAGAGACATACTCTGACAATATAACATATTCTTACTGGTTTATTTTTCAGATATATATTCTTAGCTATATATACGGCCGAAATGGTGATCAAATCAATAGCCAAGGGATTTGTGCTCAATAAATACACGTATCTGCGAAATCCGTGGAATTGGTTGGATTTCGTAGTGATCACCAGTGGTTATGCGACTATAGGAATGGAAGTAGGAAATTTGGCTGGATTGAGAACATTCCGAGTATTGAGAGCTCTCAAAACTGTTTCAATTATGCCTGGTAGGAAGCTATATCAGAAACATAAAAGTGTTCTTCCCGTTATTCCTTTTTTTTTTCGACCTTATAACGTAAAATATTGTATAAAATTCAGACGTTGAAATTTCATATTTACACGCATATACATATAATTCTTCAACATTGAATAATTGTTTGTGAAATATTATTTCAGGCTTAAAGACTATCATTAATGCATTGTTACATAGTTTTAAGCAACTTGCCGAAGTAATGACTCTCACGATCTTTTGTCTGATGGTTTTTGCACTTTTTGCTCTGCAAGTTTACATGGGTGAACTTCGTAATAAATGTGTAAAAAATTTGGAATTCAATAGTACGGAAGTCGATTGGAGGGAGTACGTATTGTTTTCTATATAAGTATATTTTATTTATGAGAGCACATATTGCGCGGTATTTATATACAAGGTGTTCGGCTACTCCTGGGAGAAAATTTAGGGGATGATTCTAGAAGCTCATATAAGACGAAAATCAAGAAAAAAAAATTACATTTAAGGCTTTGTTTTTTAGCTATTAACGTGTAAAAATATCCCTGTGGCCAAGCAAAGATCCCGACACCAACGAATATAGGTTACGTGAAGACACGGGGGGTACAGTGATCCTCAAAACCAACGACAAAAGGTTAGCACCTTACCTCGTGCAAGTCGTAGAAAGTAAGGCAGTGACATTCGGCACTGTAAATGACATTACCGAGTTTTGCGGCATTACCGTTTGCTTCTCCATAACACAGGTGCAGGTCGGAAAGTTCTTCAAACGTGTATTCTATTGTGTACTGCAAACATCGTACACGAAAGACACAACAAACATAATACACACAAATCACAATAAACTATAATATGTATTCACGTACACGTGAAAAAAAAAGAAAAAAATACAGAGAAAGCTAAAGAAAAATAAATTAAACCTATATTAAAAGTACACGAAAATACAATAAGTTCAATTTAATTGATTATACTACTGGCAGCGGTACTGGTCAAATTTAATCTATTACATTTTAGTGTACTTTTAATATAGAATTAATTTATTTTTCTTTAATTCTTTCAGTTTTTTTCTATTTTTTTAGTTTTCATTTCGTACGTATGTGAATATTATAGTTTATAGTGATTATTTTTCAGTTATTTGTCTGTATTCTGTTGGTTGTGTGCTTCGTACAATGTGTTTGCAATACACAATGGAATACATAGTGAAGCAAACTGCTTCGAATGTCACTGGCTTCTTCTCTATGACTTGTACCAGATAAGGTGCTGGCCTTGTGTCATTGGTTTTGTGGATCACTGTACCCCCCGTGCCTTCACGTGACCCATATTCGTTGGTGTAGGGCGGTTTGCTCGACCACAGGGATATTTGTAAACGTTGATAGCTAAAAATGAAGCCTTAAACGCAATTCTTTTTCTTTTTATTTGCATCTTATATCGGCTTCTACAAACACCCCCTGAATTTTCTCCTAGGAGTAGCCGAACACTCGGTACGTATAACATCTTGAAAGACAATAGCTCGTTGACTGTCAAGAAGTATTAAGTAATATCTTCCTCGTTCTTTCCACAGGTGGACTTGGAATTCTTCCAACTGGGCATTCGATGAATATGAAGAACCAATAATTTGTGGTAACGCAACTGGCGCCAGGTTAGACAACTTAGTTCGTTATTACGTGTGACTGCTCTACATGACATCTTGATTTTAATGCCAAAAACCTTACTTCCTAGGCACTGTAACGAGAGTTATATCTGTCTTTGTGTTGGCCCAAATCCAAACCATGGGTATACAAACTTTGATAATTTCCTGTGGTCGATGCTCACCACATTTCAGCTGATTACTTTGGATTACTGGGAAGACGTCTACAATAAGGTAGCTTTTTGGTTTATTTTTCATCTAAATAATTATTTTACAAACGAATTATGATGACTATAGTAAGAAATATTCCTATGATATAATACAACTTAGTTAAATAACAATAATAGGTATTGTCGGCGTGCGGACCTATTAGCGTCTCGTTCTTCACGGTGGTCGTGTTTTTTGGTTCATTTTATTTGATCAATTTGATGCTCGCAGTCGTTGCGCTGAGCTACGAAGAAGAAGCTGAAATTACAAATGAGGTATGCAAACATATGAATTATTCAAATTAAATCTCTACTTTTCAATTTGTTCTACGACTACGTAGGAACGAAGGAAAGATTTAACCGACCATCGCGAGGACTCGACGTTTAGTTTCGACCCGACAAAGATTAATGTCAAGACGCTTGCCAAAGAAAAGCAGAAGAAATTAGACGCGAGAAAGGGCGTTCTTTTAAGCAGTTACACGCGTAAAAAAACACGGAGAAGAAGACGTGGAAGAAGCACTGTTGGCTCCAACTCATCCGGTCAAGACAAAAGTGGCTCTATCCCAAGCAGGTATACTTTTTTCCACAAAACAGAATTATTCAACAAATGGAGAAAGTGAGATTTGTTTAGAATCCCTTTCTGTCTTGTACGATTTTTATTATCACTTTTTTTATTGATTAGGTCAGTGACACCGAGCCCGAGTCCAAGTCCAAGACATTCAAATGTTCGACCATCTCATTTAGTCTTGCAAAATGTCAGTCCACGAACAGTGGATAATAACGCGGTTCATAGATTAGCACCAAATCGTGGAATGCTTCATTCTCGACAAGCAAGTAATAACAGTAATCAACAATCGTCTTTAGACGATTCGGGCGTTGTCGACGATCACGATGGAGACGATGTTACATCTGTAGAAGAACAACACGATAGACGCGATAACAAAGAATCTAGAGCTGATTGGTCAGAGAAAACACCTACTAATAATAACGGCGATCTCAACGTTGAAAACACCGATGATAATGGAAATGAAACGAGAAATGAAACTAGCAATGAAACTGAAATAGACGATGAACGAGAAAACTCACAGCCAACTCGTTCCAGATATCTTCGAGAACCTACAAATGTTCCTGCCTCTCTTGTTAGCGGAACTACTCGAGAAATTAAAGTGTTTAAATGTAATGGTGTAAAAACAAAGAAGCAAATGTACACCTTGCCACCAGAATATTTATCACACATTGTTATTTTAGGTAGAATAATAAATTCTTTTTCATACACATAAACGCATGCGCACACGTACAGTGATGATTTATTTATTGTGTGTTGAAAATTACAATAATTCGTTTATTGTGCTTTCTAGATGATCTTCCGGATAGAAATTGTGAAAAGTGCATCCAATGCTGTATAGATTACGAGGGTTGGCTACGATTTCAGAATTGTTTATACAAGGTAGGTATGCCAGAATGATAAATTCGGTAGCATCGAGAGAGGAGCGTATTCGAAAGTAACGCAAATATCTCTACAATAAGTTCGATATTCGTTGCGGATATACAATTTTTAACGCGTATAGTTAACGAATAACGAACCAGTAAAATAGATAAAGCTAAGGATAGCAAATGTGAAGAAAGAAAACGCTCGACTCTCGATTGACCAGTGGCTCGTATCTAGGTAGTGAGAGATCCACTATTCGAGTTGACGATCACACTGTGCATCGTTCTGAATACCGGCTTTTTGGCAATGGAACATCACGGAATGAGCGAGTCGATACGACAAGCTCTGAACATCGGTAATAAAGTGTTTACCAGTATCTTCACCTTCGAATGCTTGCTGAAGCTGTTGGCGCTGAGTAAAGATTTCTTCGCCAACGGATGGAACAATTTCGATTTGATAATAGTATCAGCGTCTCTGATAGATCTTACCTTTGAACTGGTAGACGGTCTGTCTGTGCTACGCGGTCTGAGGCTTTTGCGAGTCTTAAAATTGGCACAATCCTGGACAACGATGAAGGTTCTTCTCAGTATTATTATTTCAACAATTGGCGCTCTTGGAAATCTTACCTTAGTTTTGGTGATTGTGATTTACATATTTGCCGTGATCGGTATGCAATTATTCGGCAAAGATTACACTTTGGATAAGTTTTATCCTGATCCGGTACCACGGTGGAACTTTAACGATTTCTTTCACTCGTTTATGATGATATTTCGTATACTTTGCGGAGAATGGATAGAACCTTTGTGGGATTGCATGCGAGCAGAACAGGAAGACGGGCCAGAAGCTTGTTTCGCCATATTTTTGCCAGCTCTAGTAATGGGCAATTTTATGGTGTTGAATCTTTTCCTTGCTTTGCTACTCAACAGCTTTAATTCAGAAGAGCTGAAACAGAAGAAGGAGGAGGTCGGCGAAGACTCAAAACTTGCAAGATCGTTTGATCGTATCCGTTCAATTATACGGAAAAATAAATGCTCGCGAGTGACTCAAGTTGGTGGAAAGGCGAAAGGCAAAGATCCTCGTTTGGAGAAGATCGTGCGACGTGTAATGGATCGATCCGACAGTGAGACTAAGTATGCTATTCAAGAGACTGTGCTCAGCCTTCCAAGAGACAATGTATACAATAGATCTTATCAAGAAAGTTTAAATCAACCTGTGTTTACTTACGATCCGGCGTACTCTCAGTCTCAAACAGAAGAACAAAAGTATGTACAATGGGAAAAGGAACAAGAAACGACTGATTCCCAATTTGACGTGGACAGTTCAAATAAGAAAAAAGAAATCGAATCAAAAGAAAGTAATTCGGAGGAGTGTCAAGATCTCGAGATCGTGAAAGATTCGTCTTCGAATAAAGCACCCATAGAGGAGAGAACTGCGATGCTGCCTCGAGAAGATCCTTTTCCTAAACACGAGGATCGAATACCGAAACGACCGTGGCATGCGCTTGTTAGTTACGTTGATGAACTTACTGTTGGCGGTAGAAGAGATAGTAAAGGAAAATACATAGATGGTATGGGATCTTTTCCCGGGTTTGGAAGAAATAACCGGCGCAAAACACCACAAGATTGCTTTCCTCGACAATGTTATGAGAAGTAAGAACCTACCGTATGCCCTGAATTTCTTTGGACAGTGAACGCTTTTGATAGCAACACGCCATTCTGTGTGCAGGTGTACCTGCATTGATCGGTGTATTGCAACGGCTATTGGCAAAAAGTGGATCAAACTGCGAACAATGATTCTCTCAGTCGTTGACACACCTGCCTTCGAATGGATGATTCTAGTTTTCATTTTTGCATCTTCTATAACGCTTTGTTTCGAAGATATTTACCTAGATGATAATCCTTTTTTGAAGAAAATTCTCTATTGGACCAATCTTGGCTTCTGTGCGCTTTTCAGTATTGAAATGTTACTCAAGTGGCTAGCTCTGGGTTTCTGCAAATATTTCACCAGTTTTTGGACGATATTGGATTTCATAATTGTTTTCGTAAGTAGCGTCGTAAAATTCGAGAGGAACATCGATTTCGATTGTGTGTGTATTTGCGTGTATGTGTCAGCAAAAGCACATACGTGCGCGCGAGCGCATGTAATATCAACTTTATGTCCATCGTGGCTGCATGGATTTTTCATTCTCGCCGATCGTAACTACCGTTTTACAATTTTGCTACTTATCTCACTATCTTCTTCATTTTTATGAATTTCTTTCTGAATTTTTTATGTGTGTCGCCTTGCGGATTCAGGTACGTGCAAAATTATTACGCTACTTCAATTGCATCTGAATCACTTTTACAACTCTTTACGTCTTACTTCGGTTCACTTAAATTTTAATTTATAAAATTGTTATTCTTGTTGATTAAATAATAATTTATTTATTCCAATTAAACCACTTAAATTTTATTCTACATTTTCTTTTATCTTCCTCTTCTACCACATCAATCTTTATGCCTTTATATTTTTTATTAGTCAATTACTTTTCACACAGCAATTGTAAATTTATTTTATAATCAGTTATACAAACATTTTAGTTGCACATTTATTATACGCAAGTTTTTAATAACTCCATAATATAATAGTAAAAGAGAAATCAATAAGTTTTCTTCCGTATCCCGTGAAATAAATGTTATCATCTACGGAAATTAAAAAAAAAAACAACTTTATGTTAATCCTATGCGGGCACAGTGCAATTTATATCAAACTTATAACACTTGTGCAATTTAACATAAAAGCTGATACGATTGAAGGGAATGTACGATTCCAAATTTCCAATTGTACTATACTAATTACAGAGTATTACCTTTGTTGCTTTGCAATAGTATTTTTTGCGCACCGTTATCGTTGCTCTGCCGCTGCGTACACTTGGATATAAAATAGCTATTCAACTTTTGTTCAATTAGTTTCCTCCTCGCTTTGATAATTTGAGTGTTGTACGAGTAAATACGAAGGAAGGTATTTTAATATTAATTAGATATTATATAGAATAGTCTACAAAACGGTTGCCACGATATATTTATGCTGTTTTTCATATTTTACGTAAAAGAATGTTTTAGACCAATATTTATTGATATGTAATAGAAAACATGCAAAGAAAAAACTTAAAAACTTTTTGTTCTCATAAGAAATTGATGTAATTTTATATTTTTTGAAATAGGCTTTGTTTTATAGCATCATATCGAGTGTTCTGCAACAAATGGGAGAGATCTTAAGGGATGATTCTAGACGACAAAATGAAACCAAAATTAAGAACAAAAAGAAGTTCAAATTCCCCTTCAGTTTTTACTTGTAAATAATTAAAAATTAAAAATTAGCCTAGAGCTCGGCAATCCGTCTAACATCGGTGAACATAAAGCAGTCCACGGGGGGGGTTCAAAACCAAGAGCTTATCCAGATTAATTCTGCAGAAACTGTGGAAAAGAATCCTGCGACATTCTGTTCCGTAAACGATTTTACGACACTTTGTAAGGAAAATTGTCGATTAAACATTAAATCTGCCTACTGGCTGAAGTCCAAGAATTTTCGAGTGTGGAGGATTAATGTCTTTTTCAGTACACAAGCTTACTCAAACAATTAAGTACAATCTTACACACCGTAATGTCTCAAAAATACGTTCATACACGTACTTCGATTGTTTACATAGTACCAATCCATATATATGCATGATGGTTAAAAACACCAGATTTATCTCAAAATTGAAATTTCTCGTAAAGTATTGGCGTCAGATAAAAACCAAAAGAAATTTATTAAAATTTAACTTATATCGTCTCTATTGATATTTAAATTTACGACCCTAAATCTTGTAACATGGCGTGTAATTGCCTCATAAAAAAAAAAAGAAGATATCTCAAAAAGAAATAAAACCATAAAGTATTGGGGAATATACATTCCGATTGGTATAAATCAATCTTAAACTAAGTTTTATTTATCAATAAATGACACAATGTAACCACAGCCATGTTTAATCGTTGCCTCCAATCTTTTCCTCTACTTTGAGATAGCTTTAAAAATCGAAATCTGAAGGTATTTCGTCTATGCTGCAGAAATCCGTTCTTTCAAACCACTACGCTTATTTCAAGAATAATATCAAATTTGAAATTTATTCCTCAAAAAATCGCAACAGATCGTCTAACATTTTTAGAAAAAGTAATTTTAGTGGGAAAAAAGAGAAAAACGATGATTTTATGCTTTTATTCTTAAACAGTCCTTTCTTAGAAGACCATTGCGGCCATGTTACAAACTTATAGGCAACAAACTCAAATATCAATAGAGAGAATACAAACTGAATTTTTATATGCTTTTTTTTTGTTTTTTTTATCTTAGACTCTAATAATCTGTGAAAACCTTCAATATTAAGTGAATAGAGTTCCCTTTCCCAAGGGAAAAACCACTCTTCAAATGACTTAAATATACTGAGAAGGGGACTCATACCAGTTGAATTAGTTTTAGTAGACTTTTTCTACGTTATAAGAATATTAAATGAAAAGTGTATGATGCTATTTAAGACAACATAAGATAATTTCAATTTCTTCTGAAAAAAAGGTACATCAATTTTTGCTTGTAGTAAAACATTCTCCACTTTTGTTTGTTTTTTCATTAAACATTTTTTCATCAAAATATCAGAAGTAATTCATACATACATATGTCGTGGTAATCGATCTGCAAGCCACCCTATACAGGACACCTGTATACATATTCAAGATGTTTAGCCACTCTTGGAAGAAAATTTAAGGGGTGATTCTTGAAGCCGAAATAAGACGAAAATCTAGAATAACAACATTGCGTTTGAAGTTTCGTTTTCTAATTATTAACGTTTAAAGATATCCCTGCGACCGAGCAAACCTCCCTACAACGAACGAATATAGGTCACGTGAAGACACGGGGGGTAAAGTGATCCTCAAAACCAACGACACAAGGTTAGCACCTTATCTCGTACAAGTCGTAGAGAAGAAGGCAGTGACATTCCGCACTGTAAATGACATAACCGATTTTTGCAGTATTTCCGTTTGCTTCACCATAACACAGGTACAGGTCGGAAAGTTCTTCAAACGTGTATTCTATTGTGTACTGCAAACATCGTACACGAAAAACACAACAAACATAATACACACAAATCACAATAAACTATAATATGTATTCACGTACACGTGAAAAAAAAAGAAAAAGATACAGAGAAAGCTAAAGAAAAATAAATTAAACCTATATTAAAAGTACACGAAAATACAATAAGTTCAATTTAATTGATTATACTACTGGCAGCGGTACTGGTCAAATTTAATCTATTACATTTTAGTGTACTTTTAATATAGAATTAATTTATTTTTCTTTAATTCTTTCAGTTTTTTTCTATTTTTTTAGTTTTCATTTCGTACGTATGTGAATATTATAGTTTATAGTGATTATTTTTCAGTTATTTGTGTGTATCCTGTTTGTTGTGTGCTTCGTGTACAATATGTGTGCAGTATACAATTGAATTCACATTTGAAGAACTTTATGACATGCACTTGTGTTATGGTGAATTAATGGATAGTGCCACAAAAGTCGGTAATGCTACATAATGTATTTACAGTGCCGAATGTCACTGCCTTCTTCTGTACGACTTATACGCAGCATAATAGTAATATTCTTTGGTGTAAGGAGGTTGACTCGGCTACAGGGATATTTTTAAACGTTAATAATGAAAAAACGAAGTCTTGATTTTTGTCTTATTTTGGTTTCCAGAATCACCCCTTTGATTTTCTTCCAGGAGTGGCCGAACACCCTCTAGATGTAGAATTACTATTTCTTTTTCTTTAAACTTCTATAATTTTTGTTTTAGTTAGTTAAACGCTTAGTTTTAGAATAAATTCGTGAAATTTCGACAATCGCATTAAAGTACGAACAGCATGTTACACATTGAATGATGAAAAAGGATAAAGGAGCTTCTTTAACGATCGTAACGTAATTTTTCTTAAACAGGTATCAACATTTAGTCTGTTGATAGAGGAAAACGAAAACTTGAAGGTGTTAAGATCTCTAAGAACTTTACGAGCATTGAGACCATTAAGGGCGATATCGAGATGGCAAGGCATGAGGGTAAGGGACTATTATAGACTATGCTAGTGGATCGTTAGTAGATTCTTTGAAAGCTTGAGAGTTAGAAGTATTGGCTGTTCCTTCTTGTTCTTGCTAGATCGTAGTGAACGCGTTGATGTATGCGATACCTAGTATATTCAACGTGCTCCTCGTCTGTCTCGTGTTCTGGCTGATATTTTCTATTATGGGTGTACAATTTTTTGGCGGGAAATTTTTCAAATGTGTTGACGAGTATGGTGAATTATTAGATATATCGGTAAGTAAAACATTTTCCTTTCGTTTTTCTTCGATGGAGAAAGAGCGGAGTGTATTGATCTTAAAAAACAAAAAAATGAAAATTCGTCGAACGTTGCTTCTTAGATTGTAAACACAAAGAACGATTGTCTGAGGAAAAATTACTCTTGGGAGAATAGTAAAATTACGTTTGATCATGTGGGAATAGCTTACCTAGCTTTATTCCAAGTAGCTACTTTCGAAGGATGGATGGAGGTGATGCAGGATGCAGTAGACGCAAGAGGTGTAGATCTTCAGCCTCAAAGAGAAGCAAACATCTACGCATATGTCTACTTTGTGATATTTATCGTTTGTGGCTCCTTTTTTACTCTGAATCTCTTTATCGGAGTAATTATAGACAACTTTAATATGTTAAAGAAAAAGGTAAGGGACCAAAAGAATTGGTAAGAAGATACGATCTCGAAAAATAACTTTGTACATATTTCATCGAACGCTGAAGCATTTCTTCCTTCTCCTTTTTTATCCCATTTTATCCCTATTTTCAGTACGAAGGTGGGGTGCTAGAAATGTTTTTGACCGAAAGTCAAAAGCACTACTACACTGCCATGAAAAAACTCGGCCGTAAAAAGCCACAAAAAGTGATAAAGCGTCCGATGAATCAAATCCTCGCAATGTTTTACGACTTATCGAATTCACGCAGGTAATGAATTTTGGTTTTACTTGTTCGTTAATGTTTTTTTTTTTCATTTCCTTTCTTTGTTGTTGACAATTTTGTAAAACCTTGTCCAAGAAATATAACAACAATTTACCGTTTTTATTTGTAAACAACAAATACGATATTTCCAGATTCGAAATAGCAATTTTCATTTTAATATTCCTCAACATGCTAACAATGGGAATCGAGCACTACGATCAGCCTCATCCAATTTTCTTCGTCCTCGAAGTATCGAACGCATTTTTCACGACCGTTTTCGGCTTAGAAGCAATCGTGAAAATAATAGGACTACGATATCATTATTTCACGGTGCCATGGAACTTGTTCGATTTCCTCCTTGTGCTGGCTTCAATTTTAGGAATATTAATGGAGGATATTATGGTAGACTTTCCGGTGTCCCCGACGCTCCTGCGAGTCGTGAGAGTGTTCAGAATCGGTAGAATCTTAAGGCTTATAAAAGCTGCAAAAGGTATTCGCAAACTGCTGTTCGCTCTGGTGGTTAGTCTTCCGGCGCTGTTCAACATCGGTGCCCTATTAGCTCTGATTACTTTTATTTATGCCATTATCGGCATGTCAGTTTTTGGTCATGTTAAGAAACAAGGCGCGCTCGATGACATGGTAAGTAAGATTTATTCGAATGTTATCGTTATTTCTCTAAATCTTTACTTTTCCAATTATATTTTATCCAATTGCTGCATACTAATTGTAATCTATTTATTTTTTTCTTTCTCCATTTCCCCTCACCTTGTTTCTATAGGTAAATTTCGAAACTTTTGGTAGAAGCATGCAATTACTGTTTCGATTAATGACATCAGCCGGTTGGAACGATGTATTAGAATCTTTGATGGTACAACCACCGGATTGCGATCCGACTCCAACTAGTCGGCAACTGAATGGAAATTGTGGATATCCTCTCTTAGCAATAACCTATTTTACTTCCTTCATCATAATCAGCTACATGATTGTTATCAATATGTACATTGCTATTATTCTCGAGAACTTTAATCAGGCCCATCAAGAAGAAGAAATCGGTATCGTCGAGGATGATCTAGAAATGTTCTATATACGATGGTCTAAGTAAGAATTTCTTTTTTGTATTTTCATATATATATATGCAACTCCTTTTTATCTTCATACGTTCTATCGGAAGTCTAGGTAAACAAGTTTAATCATAATTGGGTTGATCGTAGGTACGATCCGCACGCGACACAGTTCATAAACTTTTCGCAATTAAGCGATTTCATAGCGAGTCTGGATCCACCATTAGGAATATCGAAGCCTAACATGGTTGCGTTAGTCAGCTTCAATCTTCCTATTGCAAAAGGTAATAAGATTCATTGTCTGGACATTCTGCACGCACTTGTCAAGCACGTTCTTGGACACGTCGAGGAGTCCGAAGATTTTCGGAAACTACAAGAACAAATGGATATAAAGTTTAAGAAACAATTTCCTACGCGTAAAGAACTTGAAATTGTTTCTTCTACGAGGATATGGAAGCGTCAGGATAAAGCCGCTAGATTGATTCAACGTACCATTAGAGACTATGTAACGTGAGCATCGTTTTCTGTTCCCTTTTCTCACACGACTGTCATTCTAAAGACTGTGTGTCACTAACGTTATCGTATTCAGGATGAAGAAAGAACGCGAAAGAATGGCACATGAAGTGGACTCGCAGACTCAAACGTCAAGTCCTGGTGTTGGGAACGAGGGTAGGGGTGGGGGTGGATGGAGTGGCAAAGTATCGGCCTTTCTACATGTACATAGAGGTAGCCGAGCCAGTAGCCGCAAGTCCTCGAGGGCCAGCGACGCCAGCGATTTCAGCGAGCTCGGTACAGCCTCGGCGTGGCTTTTCCCAAACTTACCTCTGCTGTTGCTCTCCGGCGCCACCGGTACTCATGAGGACCTGCCTCCTCCCGCTCTGACCGTATCCCGTCCCTCGCCGACTACAGAACAACAATCGTTTGCCGGTTCCTCTGTTGCTAGTGCTACTTCCTCTGATCTACATGCCAGGTTTGTACTTTCTCTCTCTTATTCGTCTTCATTCACGCCTTAACTTACTTCATCTGTACAACGTCAAATAACATATGATAATATATAATAACTTAAAGTAGATCGATCGCGGGACCGACACTCGGCCGACAAAATGCCGTTGAAAGTTATCCCGATGAGGAAGTCCCCAGTCTTCCTACAAAGCGCAGGTCACTTCCGCCAAGCGCTACAACACTTTCTCTAAACACCTTGCATCGTGATATCAAAGAAGCATTTAGCAAACGTTGCGGTAGCCTCCGAAAGAAACATCAACCAGCACCCGAACCAGCTCCGCAGCCAATTGAATCTACCGATGTAAGCATACTCGTTACGGAACCTAGTCCAGAAAATTCAGCGCCGCCTTCGAAACCGGCACTACTTAGACGACAATCTGCCGCCACGGTCGTTCATGTCCTTGTTCACAGGGAGAGTGAAGAATATCGAGATACACAACTCGACGATGCCAGTTGATCTTAGATCGTTATACTCGATACCTTTTTGAAATCACTTTAACGAGAAGCTAGATTAAAAGCCACCGAAATTTTGTTGTTATCGCGTTACGGCGACCTTGAATCTCATCCGATTCCCTCTCCTCTCCCCCTTTCTTTAACGCTGTTGCCTTATCATCATTATCATCTAATGTTCTTCTATCTCAATATTTCAACACTTTCGATTTGATTGTTTCTAAACAATTTCGTTAGTAATAACTTTACGAAAGTATTTATTCTGGTATTTAAATTTTATCCTAATGGTACACTTTTTTTTTCAAGGGAAATACTCTCACGATACTTTTAATCTTAGTGAATAATAAGTAGCCTACTTTTAGCAATCAATTTTTCGTAACGAGTTTAAATCTTTTTCTTATGCCATAGGGACACCGATATCTCGAAAATGTACAGTGTCCGTTTTTACCGAAAACGAAGGAATATCTCGTAAAGAATTGAAGATATCAGATAATTTTTCTTATAAAAGTTGTTTGAGATAAAAGGGGGAGATTGTGCACTACAAATAACTTTTCTATTTACGAAGTAATAGGGGAGATTTTTAGGTTGAGTTAATTATTTTAAATAGAACGTTATATTTCTCTTATTCGTAGTATGATAAAGGTTGTCCAGACGATTCCAACGAGGTGCGATGCACTTCGTTTTATGGGAGATTGTAAAATCGTGAGACTCTAAAGTGTAAGTTCCACGAATGTCGCCTGCCTATGTAGCCAGCCAATTTGTATTGTTCAGTGAAACGTCACTATTTTACGGCGTACCACAATCTTGCCTAACTCTTCATTATTTATTAATTACTACACTGATGGCAACTTAAAGAAAAAAGTATTGACTGATTAGTATCAGTAACACAGTTAAATACGTTTTTGTCTTGCCGAAGTGAAGTACGTAACATTCGTTGACCTGACTCTTTAGGACCCAATGGTTTCAACATTTTCCGCAAAAAGAAATAACTTAGTGTTGCACCACGTTGAAATCGTCTCAACAAATTTATCATATTACGAGTAAACGAAATATAACATTCTATTTAAAATAATTAAATCAACCTTGAAATACATTCTACATGTAAGAAAACTATTTATACTATACACATAATATCCTCCGTACCAAAAAATCTTTATAAGAAATAATTTTTTGACTAGTGCAATTTTTTACGAAATATTCCATCGTTTCCAGTTAAAAGGGACTCACTGTAAATTTAGTAGTTCAATTAACTTGATATTACTAAAAACTCGCATTCTTCTATCATGATTAAGGGTGATTGGACCAATTTAGTGAAATATATTTAAATTCCGATCCCTTCTTCAAATTAAATCACTAATATGATCTAGTCGTTACAAAGAGAAATGAATAATAATTATGCGAAGGAAAGAATAATACTGCCTCAAATAGCATAGATTTTTAATTTATAATTGTTTTGAAGAAAGAAACAAAAAGGATCAAAAAAGAGAGGGAAAGTGAGGATGAAAGGAGGAAAACCACACGCAAATTTTTAAACGAAATTGTACGATAGCTAGGTAATTGTTTTTGTTTACACTTTTAAAGAAACGTAGAATGCTAGTATCACTATTGATTTCATATGATGCCACTCACCATAAACGTAGAACATAAATCTATGTGATGTTTGTCTTATTCAAAATTATTGAAAAGATTACGATATTCCTAATAAATAATAAGATTACATGCTTACTTATTTATTATGGTATATTTATACACGATTAATAAAATTGATTCTGTACTTGTTAGAAAGGAAGGTTTTCTCTTCTGGACGCTTTCAACATTGGAGCAATAAAGAGCATATTGATTCTATTAGTGATCGACGTCCAACTTTCCATTTAAACATTAACTACGGCCAATGTTATTTCTTCAATTAGATTGAAGAAAATATAACGATATCTTTTTTCCTTATTTTCAACAACAAACTAAGCAGAAACAAGCTGTTACCTTAGAATTGAAATTTGATGCACATGTATTTGGACAAGTATCAATTACAACGTATAGTACAATCTTGTAACTTATTTTTTTTTTATAACAAGTGAAAAACGTGTCAATCACCAAATACCGAAAGAGTAATAAGTTTATCAATAATTTGTTAATAGTATTGCGCACTGAACAATACCCAGAAAAGGTGGCTTCCTCTTCTCTAACGTTCTTTGTAAAATTGCTTTAAAACAAAATGCATTAATCTGTTGCATTGTATATACTATAATTGCGTATATCGCGTAGCAGCGCAAGTAATAGCTGTTCCTGAAGAAAACAAAAAAACAGAAAAAATACGAAAAACTACAATGAATTTTATATTCCATACTAAAACTAATATTAATTTCTATATTGATACATACAATCGCTTCTTCTTTTTTTCGTTTTCTAATATACAAGTTAGGAGAATCAGATGAAACCAACAATTGCATACGTACATTGTAAACAAGGATACAACACAGCATATTTCTTTATATTACTTTTATTTCGTTCGGTTTATCGTAAATACATGTGCATGACAAAAAAACAAAAGCTTATGTAACTCTAAAAGCATATACTCGTCTTCGAAGGTGAAACCGTCTATTAAATTTAGTAATCAATAAGTTTTAGAATATTAATGAATAAAAAGGGAATTTCTACTTAATGCAATAGATAGACTCGACATTTCTACTTACATCATTTTATCGAGCACTTCATTTTTTATGAATTTATTTTAATTCGAAATTAATTATTGCATCTTTAAAATATTATTGATTAATTCGATAAAATATAGGGTGGAAAAATGTTTAAACTTTCTAATTCTAATTCTTATCTTCCCAATTATTGACAATCATACGTTCAAAATTATACTTTGCATCGTATGAATTTTTTAATCTTCGGTGATGAGTATTATTACATCCAATACATAAACGGATACATAAAAGAAGTTAAAGTGAAGTCTCATTCCTTTTTATTCTAATTTCGTGTGATAAAATCATGAAACAGTGCGTATTATCAAATATCCATGCAACATGAAACTAATAATTAAGAAATGTAAAGAGAGAAAGGGAGAGAGGTAAAAAAATAAGCGGAAGTGAAAGGAGGAAAAAAGATAGAAAAAAGAGATTCACATAGAGAAAGGAACAACGAATTTTGTAGTAATTAGTTAAATTTTTACTGTAACCTTATTGGTTCATCTTGATTTATTTATTTAGTACTTGAATTCCTGACGTAAGAACACAGAACTTATTAGTTCAAATAATCCTAGATTTTCACGTTGCTGTTTTCAGTTTTCCTTTTCACAAATAAACGTTGCCATTAACACGCCACGACCTCTCGTCGACCTATAGTGCCTATTGTTAGAAAAGGATTGTGAGTTAATATATATGTATACAAAAATATAAACATGTATATTAGATTTTCATATTACAAGCATTCGTACGAACAAATAGTACGAGTTAAATTTACGTAAATCTCTCGTTAGAACGTACAACGTACGTTACTTTTAGAGTTTAGCATTTGATGCTTAATGCTTGATAAATCTTTTTCGTGCGTCGACCATAAGATATAGCGTTGAGGATTACAAAAGAAGAAATCGATGAATAAATGAACAGAAAGATAAAAGTTAAAATAAAATTAAACACTTCGAAAACAATTTAATTTCAAAATGTGATCTTTGCAAGAAGATACGCATCGTGAAGCTATGTATCATGTCAATTAAAGGCATAAATATATTGTATGTTATTCATAATTGGCGTGTATGCACGCGATACGTCTACATACTACATATATACATACTTATAAATATACCAAAAAATAAGAGACTGGACACACATACGACTATTCTGAAACTTAAGGATAGTAAAATTCCAAAAATTGTACAATCACTTTCGGATACCCTTCAGGAATCCGGAATTATTTAGATTATAACTTTTTTCTGCGTGTCTGCGTGCTAAGTGTGTGCGTGTGAACAAAATTCGATAAAATAACACCTGCTCAAACCTACACATATTTACACCGTCAGGACGCATTTCCGTAATTATACATTATTATTGCAACTTACAGCTTTTCCTTTCAACGTTGGGGCGTACGATTGTTCATTTAATTCATCGTTCGTTCCAGTTGATTTGACATTTCTTACATTTTTTATAAAAAAAAAAATAAAAACATCAAGGTGACAATATTGTTCACACTACATAAGAAAATATTAAAGGTCGAATATTCTATCGTTCGGGTGAAAAGAAAAAAGTGTTTAATTACAAAAAATGTCTTAAACTGTAATGTTAAATGATAAACACCTTAGTACAGGGTTACTGACAATCGAGATCTTGAAGGAAAATAGCTTTTTTCTCTTCTTCTATATTTTGAAGAATTTACTTTCAAAATATTTAGTATAACTATTTAAAAATAATCAATATCGTTTAATCTTAACAATCTACATTCTATTGTTAATAATTAATAATTTCGATTTATTGCAAAATTGAAATTGTCACGCTATTAGACATACATTATAGATAAAAAAGTAAATTTCGTGTTCTGATATCTGACAATGATAGAGATTTAAAAGATATAAAAAGAAAGGGAATGAGGGAGCAAGCAAACAGACAGAGCAGAAAATATTGTATTAGTGTTGTAATGACTCATCACATACAAAAAAAAATTAAAAGAAAGAGCAGTGAAACGTTCCTTTAGATCAAACTTGTAAATAGTGTAATGATCCTCACTAGTTTGCAAAACCAACCGTTTTGTCATATAAATTTATAAACAAAGACTCGAGCATTGTTCTTCCATACATATTAATTCCAGTTGATTAAATTTTTTGTAAATTTCTATTTGAATGTTTATTTCAAAAAGTCGTTGTTGATATTACAACATGCATTCCAATTTTGTATATTTTCAAGTCAAATTTTATATTTAAATCGTGATTTTTGTGTGTACCTTTGGTCTAGATATAGTTAAATGTACTACTTTCTCTTCACTGTAATAACAATGCTCGATATAATTTATAAGCTAATACGAGCAAGCAAATACTGAATTTTAAAATATACAGTCTAATCAAATCTGATGTTATAATAAAAATACTAATAATACTAATAATAGGTTAAATGAAATTTGTTCAAATATTATAATGTAGTTCTTATATTAATTTTAAAAGATTTTTATAAAATTGTTAATTTGCTCTATATGTTCTTGTAAAAATTTATTTGATACTTGAAATTTTACATGCAAGAACAATTAAATATATTATATAACAGAGCTATATATATTCTTAGGACTATATTTATTCTTTTCTAATAAGTTTCTATTCTTATTTAGTTGAAACTCTAGTGCGCTTATTCCATGAAAAGTTGGTACCATAGCTACGAGGCTTAGGATTATTAATGTTTGGTTTTTGAATATAATACTTCCACTTCATTTTATCACAATATGCAATAGCTTCTTCCTTTGTATTAAATACCACCTGGACGTTAGATAGGGGATCACCTCTGTAGGTCAAAATATAACAATTAGTTAAAGTATATTAAATGGAGTAAAATATTATGTTATACCCACGTTGAAGTCCATCCCATTAGGGGATTCTCCCAACGTTCTTGGGTATCAAAGTCTATTTGCCAACCACTGATATTATTTGTTCCAGATTGCATAGCACTTTTTGCAGGACAATAAATGCGAGCTGTACGACTTCTTATTTGTTCTGCTGGAACACCAGAACAACTAGCAACATCTTCTATCTCTGATGTAATAATTAACTCATGTTTTCTAGCTTCTTCAGACAAACTTTTTTCTCTAGATACCAAACTGATTTTGGATGTGCTTATTAAACTCGATTCACTTACTTCTTTAATATCTTTATCCGAAGTAGCAAAACATCTTTTTATTAATCTAGAAAACAATTCCAGAATTGATTGATTTTATTTTGTGCAAACTTGTACAGTATTTTCATAATTGGAAATATCAAGAAAGAAAGAAAAGGTAAAATTAGAAAACAGAACTAACCCGCAACATATTTTGGTGTTACTGTTTGAACGTAACGAGGGTAACAAACGAAGTGCCATTTTATATGATACAAATTAAATTGCTATACTCGATATCGTTAGACTACTTTTGCTAACTAAAAAAAGACAATTGAGAAACTTCTTGCGCATGTGCTAAAATTCATAAACATAGTATTCAAACAAACACAATATTTATGCAATAAATATTTATATTTCTATAAAATTTTAGCGTACAATTATTAAAAACTTTTTCAATTTAGAAAATTGTTTTTGCAATATGTACACGCAGATGCACCGAGTTTTGCCAAAACCTTAAAACTAAACGCTTAGCCGCAGTGATTCTATGTGAAATGGCGTACGAGGCGCAAGTGTCATGCGCGGAAACTATTCTGACATCAAACGTCTAACTGCATATATTATACTCCACGTGATTCCATATTGTTTATATTGTCAATTGCATCGATTCTGTTTGTGAATTACATCAATTTAGTAGTAAATACTGTTACCTTCTTCAAAATTAGTGTTTTTCTTAGTATTGAATTAATTTCTATTTACCCTTTAATGATACTACGTTTTCGTTCGTCATTAAAAATAACTTGGTGAAAATAATTAGCATACTCTTTTATTAAAATGCCTATTGATCAAAGGCGAATTAATGGTCCGGATGTATCCATACCTTACTATATTTACCCTAATTTTGATAACAAAAAGGATGAAATAAAATACGATTTTAACAAAAGAAGTGATAAACGAACCAATAATGACATTCGAAAAATATGTAAGATTATAAACTATATATTTATTATGGATATTTATTAGTTTATTCTTCCTGTGATATTAAAAGCAATCATTTACATTTTATTTTTACAGTTTTAAAAACAGGTATTGTCAGTCAGGCAAAAGGTTCTGCATATATAGAAATGGGAAATACAAAAGTAGTTTGTTCAGTATTTGATCCCAGAGAAGTACCAAATAAGAGTGGTTATTGTGTGCAAGGAGAAATTTACTGTGAATTCAAATTTGCTCCGTTTTCTTGTCAAAAGCGAAAAATTCATCAACAAAATGCAGAGGAAAAACAATATAGTTTAATTTTACAAAGAGCATTAGAACCAGCAGTTTGCTTGGTAAATATACATATGTATGTGTACACATATTTTTGTACATATACAGTATATAATAATCTTTATTATTATCAGTAATAAACACAATAAAGAGAAAAATAATCAACATGCATAAAATATTTTATTATTTATGCAATTTTAAATAATGATAAATTAATGTAATGATTTTCATGTACAGTCACAGAGTACATGTAATAACCATGTATTAAAAATGGATTATCAAAATTGATACACATATTATTTATATTGATTTAAGCAAAAAGATATTCTTCCAAAATTAATTTCATTGACTTACAATGAATTGCAATTTCATTTAAGTCAGAATCAATTTTGACAATCAATGTTATTAAGTATAACAGTTATTTACTTCTTAAAATTATTATAAGAATAATATCATCAAAACAAATTTATTTCATTGATTTGCTTACTCTCACAATTTCTTATTTACTTATTTACAAAATAACATACAATATAATTAAAATTTGCATACTCTAAAATAAAGGTATTTGGACATATAGTATGGAAAATTGAATTATATATAACACTTTTCAGAATGAATTTCCTAACTTTCAAGTAGATGTATATGCAATGGTCTTAGATAATGCTGGATCTTCTCTTGCAGCTGCAATTATGGCTGCTAGTACTGCTTTGGCTAACGCAGGTGTTCCTATGTTTGGTTTAGTTACAGCTTCTACTGTAGTAAGTAATATCTTTAAAAACTTGTAATTGCAAATATTGGGTTTTTACTGTTATTTTTAATAAAAATACAGGGTATCTATGATGATTATTATTTAATGGACCCTACGGATACAGAAGAGACAATGTGCAATACACAATCAAATAACCAAGATGACTTTAATCATGGGATAATTACACTAGCTAGTCTCCCACAACATAATCAAATGTCAGAAGTATTTTTAATTGGAAACGTTAATGCAAACTCTATTATACATGCAACCGAAATGTTAACAACAGCTAACAAAGATATTTGCCCTGTACTTCAACAGTGTTTAGTCAAAAATATTATGAAATTACATAATTAAAAGAATAATAAAATATTTAAGTAAGAAGCAATGTCTTGTTACACTGAAATATATATTCTTACAATAAAAAAATTGTATCCTTTTAATATTCATATATTTCTTATCCTGTCTTTAATAGTTAATTCATATTACAATGTTTTCAACTGCTATTTAATTTTTACAAAGTTACAAACATTTTGAAAAATACAGGTAATTGTACAAATATAAGAATAATCATTCTCACTCTAAGGATAAATTACGTCTTGTCCTTTTTCTTAGTACTTGCATATACAAAAAAATGTTAGATATTTTTATTCAAATGGAAGGATACAAATCACTCTTAGCGCATCAAATTATATAAAATTTGTTCTAAACTAATGATATATACATTACATAAATATATAAATTAAAAATTAAGTTTTAGGGTGACGACTATCTCTCGATCAAGGCACTGCGTTATCGAGAAGACACATCTTTTTTCAAAATGGTCGGTATATTCTTACATTATCCTGTAAGGAAAAACTTTGTATAGACCCTGCTTTTAAAAATTGTTTAATTAGCTTTTCATTTTTTTTTCATTTTCAATTACACTTTTTATTGCATACTTAAATTCTTTAAAAAATTTTTTAATACAAAAAAATACAGAAAAACAATTTGTTTTACTGGTTTCCAAGCTACTAGTGGCTCTAAAAACCATAATATCTTACCTCAATTTGTTTGTGTAATGCATAACCTTGACATTTATTAAAATATAAAGTCATTGCTTTTTGAAACTTTTCAAAATGGGATAAATATTATCAAACGCTTCATAAATCTCCTGTCGAACTTTTGCTCCTATTCAAATAATGATAATAATTTATGAAGTGAATAATAAATATACAGGATGTTCTGCAACTAGTAGTATAAGTAGAAAGAAAGTAATTTTATATGAGAAACACATATTGAAAACGTAGAACAATATTTTTTCTGTTTAAAGCTTTGTTTTTGAAGAAGTTTTTTTTGAAAATTCATTGCACATACAAGTGTTATTACATTATTTTACTATTGGCTATTTTCATCCACATTAGTGTTTATAGGCATTGATAGCAATATAAAAAATAATGAAGCAAGGACTTGTACTTTTTTTATTATGTTATAAATATTGTTACAATATCCCCTGCGTTTCTTATATGCAAACTTTTTTGTTCAACTAATTAAAGAGCCATAAACGGATTGTAATGAATTTTTGTTCTTATAATTTTTTAAATTAGTTCGAAATGGATTTCAGTAGCACTACCGATATCTGTAAAAATTAATAGTAAAGTGATACAATAATAGTTACAATAAACTTTCAAAATCAATTTTCTTAAATACGAGGGTTAAAAAAATTTCATTTTGCACCTTTGATTTACTTTTTCATGTAGAATCCGTTCTTTCAAACTACACTACCAGTTGTCACTCGGTATACAGAATCCAAATAACATATTTATAATAATACTCACCTGTTAGAACTACTTTTCCTGAAACAAATATGAGCAAAACAATTCTAGGCTTAACCATTCTGTATATTAATCCAGGGAAAAGTTCAGGTTCATAGGAAGAAAACTGTCCATGAGTAAGTACTAATCCTTCTAGCCGAATTGGAAATTTCACATCACAGCTGCCTACCATGTTTTGTATTTTGAAGTCAAGAAATTTTGCCTTTACCCAAAATAGATTAAATTGATAATAATCAATTAAAAATAAATGATAAGTTTTAAAAGTTTACTAACAGGAAAACCAAGCTTTTGAATAATTCTGGCATACTTTCTTGCAGCCAATCGAGAATCCTCTTCACTCTTTGCTCCAGTGCATACCATTTTTCCACTACTAAATATTAAAGCAGTAGTTCTTGGTTCCCTTATCCTCATGATAACTGCAGCAAATCTTTTTGGATTATATTCTGCATTCCTTGCATGAAGAGCTATTTTTTTTAAATCTAACTTGCAATTCAAATTAACTGTAGAGACAATATTCCTGTAACATTAATAAATTGTAATGGGCATGTTTTATTGTAAGTTAATTTCTTACTCACTGAAGTTGTGGTAATATTCCTGGATCTGCAGATGCTGGTGTCATAGGTGTCATGGGACCTGGTGTAGATGGTCCTATCGATGGAGGTGCAATATGACTAGTATTTTGTACTAGTGGAGACATCATATTTTGCTACAAATGAAAGAATTCTTTCTTAAGATAACATGAAATATAATACAACATAGTTTATTGAATCCTACCGGTGTTTGTGGCTGCATAAGGCTTTGCGGTGTTGCAAATGTAGGTGCTGTTGCATAAGCATGCATAGTCTTTTGTGGTGTTCCGATCATAAGCATTCCACTTTGCATATTTGGACTCATTGCGTGCAATTGTTGTAATTGATATTGTTGTTGTGGCTGTGCTTGTTGCTGTTGTTGTTGCTGCTGCTGTTGTAAAGCATTAGGTAAAATTTGTTGGTCCTCTTCTGGTTGATGCAAAGGAGTACCTATACTTGGTATACTAAATCCAGGACTAGGTAACATTTGATCCATTTTTTTTTCGTTTTGAAAAATTAACCACTAATAAATAATTTTAATTTCAACAGTTTCTAAAATAGTTTATAATTGGATCAATAATTGTTAATACCTAATAAACTTGCAATAAAGTTTTATAATGTCAATAACGCCCATATTTTTAAAAAACGTTACACCAGTAATATTTGCAGGTTATGTTCTTTGAGAAACAGAGCTTCAAATTTTTGTTTCCTGTAATCACTTAACAACTTAACAGATACACCTTTTATGCAAAAATAAATTTAGATTTTCTTTTATCTGCGTTTTTATTTTTATCTTTTATTCATGATTTTATTCTTGTTTGTTTACAACTCCTTGTTTCAAAAATTACCATAGACTTGCGAATGTTAAGATAGGTTTAACTTTTTCTTATGTCATTAATAATACATTAATTAGAATTGTTTAAAAACGAAACTATAAACAATTTTTAAAGTAGCAGAAATTTCTTTCTTGTTTTTAAAATACAAAATAAAATTGTCTTTAGTGTATATGTATCAAATCAAAATTTATCAATCAATAATAAAATAGTACATATGAAAATTTAGAGAAAAAGTATGAACAAAAATATGTTTTAACATCGAAAGGAATGATTATATGTGACAAAAACCTAGATGAATTTTTAAATAATGCTAGTCAAGTGCTAATTTGTTACATAGAAGTGTGAAAAGGATCCAAAAATAAAAAATATGTAATAATTAGAAAAAATTTTGTTACATATTTCAATTATTATAATTATCAGTTTTAGTTTCAGAATTAATGCAGAAAAGATTACGAACAATACATATAAGTTAAACACACTTTACACGAGTGCTACCTCATAAGTGTAATTTTGTCATAACATATGCCAATGATTCATTAAAAAATTTATTTCATTTTTAAGAATATTACAAATTAGATGAATAATATGTCATGTTATTAATAAATTACCTAAACTTTAATTATCTATGATATTTTTAATATATTCAGTTAAACTTCTTAAAACAAATTGGAGGCAATTTTCTCAATCCAGTTTTAAGGCTTTCTATATCATATTGGAGTGCAAGTTTTTGCTGCATTTGATCATAAAGAATATTTTCAAGTGCAATAATATCGGCCTTGTGTTCGAGTTCTATTTGTAACATTCTTGCCTATAACAGAAAATATTAGTTATTCAATTAGTTATATTAAATTGATACATTAATATATGAGGGTGTTATTAAGAATCTTTTTACTTTTGAAATTAGAGTATTTTCCAAAATTTTATTAAGTTTAGATTTTTCTTTCTCCAATACTGTCAACAAACTTAATTTTTCAGTATTCTTTCGAATTAGATTTTAATTTTTGTAATAAATTTTAATAAAAATCATTTTAGAATTTTTAAGCTCTTTCATTTACGTTTTATATCTTTAGCAAAATTCTTCATAATGTTATGTATGTTAGTTTTGGTATCATAAATTAATCTTTGTAAAATGGTTTCATAAAGGCTAATTAAAGATACTTTTTGACCAAATTTTTGTATCATCTTTTCTTTCATATGTTCCTCCAGCCTCTTATTTTGAGTTTCCATATATTTTAAATCCAATTTTATTCGCTTTAGATGTGCTTCATTCTTTCTATAATAAATAATAAATATATCCTCTTTTTATAAACTATTTTATTCTTTTTTTTATCATACTTGCGCTTTTTTTCCAGATTGTATGTTTCTTCTTGTAGTTCTCCTACTCTAGCATAAAGATTTGACAACTCCTTTTTATTAAAAACTACACAATTTTGAATTTCTGCCATATTCTCAGAATTTAATATATGTTGTAACTGATGAAGTTTTAATGTGACTGTTACATTAATGTCATTTAACCTTTTATATTTATCCATCTGTGAAGGATGAAACAAATTTTAATATGTAAGGTAGTTAAAAAATCGCTATATTAGCATTTAAATATACCATAAAGTTTTGCAATTCTTCCTGATTGTTTCTTAAATTACTTTCAATAATTCTCAAATGTTTTGCACTGGTATCTAATTCTTTATGCAATATTTCTATTTCTTTTTGTTCTTCCCTAATCTGAAATTCGTATGAATGTCTTTTTTGTCTCATAGAAAATGCCATTTCGTACAATTCTTTATCACATCCAGATGGACATACATTTTCATCAAATGGAATATATTCGGTTTCAGAATCTATTGTATCGTCTGTTTCTTGAGAACTAGTTTCTGATGTTTGTGTAATAGAACCGAAAGAGCCTAAAATTGCAATTAAATCAGTAAAATATATTAATCAACTAGATTGAATTAGAAACTACAAATATCAAAGCAAGAAAAGTTGACCATTTTGTTTCTTTACTGCTGTATACTTTTTTTTAAATATTTTGTGAAGAAAATCATGAAATTTATTGTCAGCTACTGCTTTTGTAAATTCAACAGCAATATCTTTAATTCTCATATATAATTTTCCAATTTCTTCTTCTCGTGCGACAATATTAACATTCGTAGCTTGTACCTATAGAAATTATATCTTGTATTAATTTCTATATTACTAATAAATCATTGATAAGTATACAATTCAATTAATTTTTATTTTTATTTCTTATTCTCATAAGGATATAAGGAAAAATTCTTATAAGGATAATAACTTGTAATATTACGGCGGTACGTTCATTTGACTTCTGATTAACTTTCTCTTCAAGTATATGTTCCGTTATTTCAAATTCTTTCAAAATAATAAATTCTTCATATAAAGTTAATAAATTCAGATTCATGTGCGTATTTTGATATATAACATCAAGTCTGTATTTTTCTAATTCATCTAATTCATCTTCCAATTGTTTATAATTAGCATCGATATATCGTAAAATACAATCTTGTTCATATATTTTTCGCCATATTCGAGAACGTTTCATTTCACGTTCCCACGTAGTTTGAATAGAATCGCTGGTGTTGAGATTTCTAATTAAGTCACCATGTATAGATAAGTCTTTTATTTTCATTCTTGAAGAAGAAACATCAGTATAGAGACTTTCTCGCTCTTCTCTAAAATTTGTTTTATCATTACAATATAATATTTCATATTCTAAATCCAAATTATCTATTAATGGATCTATAATTAATGACTGCCTTTGACGTTTCACTTCTTGCATCTTTTCTGACATAGATATGTACTTTTCAAGCTATAATAATACTATTGTCAAATATAATTTTCCATATTTATGAGTATTTACAAATACAACCAACCTCAAGATTATGCTCAGGAAATTCAATGACAAGGTTTATTTTTGGTGGCTTTGGTAAAGATTTTATGTTTTTCGATGGAATTTCTGTATGAATTCTTTTAAGTATTTCTATTAGTTTAATAACTTCTTTCTGCATTCTTTGTTTTTCCTTTGCAATTATTTTTAAATTTTCATTAAAATTTTCCCGCAAGTAATGAAGCTATAAAAAATAATTATTTTAAAAATTATCATAACATTAGATTTTATTTAATATGTACCTTATTTCTACAATCTAAAAGTTGTTTGAACTTTCTAGCTGCAGTTTGTTTTCTCTTTGCTAAATTAAACTCTGCATTCATCTTCAAATTATATTCACCAATCGTTTGTCTTGCTTTTTCGAGATAAACTACATCTTCCATACGATTTTTAACCAAGTTTGGTTTTCTTTCATGTAGTTTTCGCCACTACATTTAATATATGTTTATTTGATATACATTAATTTTAATATAAGTTACATTATTTTAAATTATGTACTTCACTTTGTCGTTGCATCAATCTTGCTATCTTCTCTTTATATTTTACTAACATTTGATTAATTTGCAACCCTAATCCAGATGAAAGAGTACTGAAATCTTCAGTTAAAAGACCTAAATATTGTATTTTGTTCTCTTCTGACTCACGTTTTTCTTCCTCAATTTGTTCTTGTACTATTCTACAATTTAACAACAATACATACAAAAAACTC